AGCTTCCTTAAAAGTCGGAGTTCATCTGCCTCAGAGGCAAAGAACCAGCAATCTGCATACAAATGAGTCCGATCTGTCAAATGAATGCACACGCAACACTCAGGTTCTGGAACAGGACTGCAGTCCAAAGGTGGATGAACAACTAGAACTTTGCGCCAGAGTTTACAGCGGGTGAACGCGAAAAAAGAAGAACCAGCATCCCTGAAGGGGGAGATTTAGGTTATAACTGTGACTAGGTTATGTGTGCCACATAAAATGGATAATCATTCAGTGTTCATACAATCAAAGGAGACAGGCCCAAATACTGTCCCGACCGGCGACGACGCCGTCTACCTGCCAGCCAATGGGCGACCATGTTGTCGATTATTTTGATAGAGTTTTCTGTGGTGAAATAGTTAATTTGCTCGCTTCGTGCAATAAAGGCCGTGGGTTCGTTTCATGCCTGTGTCGTTCGGTCCACGAATGAAAACTTGTCGTCGCCAGGGCTACGGTGTACGTGCTTTGAGCAGTTAGCTAGCTGTTGTGCGGATAGAGATAAAGCTATATGTGATTAACCCTGGCTCAATGAAGTCGATCCTCTGGGCTTCATCATTTCGTTTTACTCCCAAAGAGTTTAAACATTTTATCATCGGATACCACACAAAAACATATGTTTGTCAAGACCCCGGATCAACAGAATTGCTGGATCAGGTCTTTGTTCTTGTCTAGCCCATACCACGTAGTAAATACATCTTTTTATTTTATATTTTGTCATTTTCTTGCTCTTTGTAAAAAGTTTTCAGTCAATGGTCACTAAGTTTTTAAACGTAATAATATCTGAAAGATTTTTAAAAAGTAAAAAAAAAAAAAAAACACAAATGTCTGTCTATGTGATAGTTCTCATATCCGTGTTTGGTAATACAGCAAAATTGTGTTACAATGAATTCCAAGGGACCCAGAACTGAGGACGTGTTTAAAAAGAATTCCAGCTTAACGGGAACTGGTGGGTCCAAAATATTGTTCATATTAACCAAGTGTTCTTCTTAAGCGAAATTTTCTATTACGTATTAGCTTTTATCTGCTGTAAATTCTTGCCGAAATTTCTGGTTGTTCTTACCACTTCTAGACTTTGACCTTATTCAACATTTTGAGTTTGGCGTGCTCATCTATTTACATATGCGACTGGTTTGTATGCAGATTGTTGCTTTATGATTCCCAGGGCAGATGTTCTCCGACTTCGAAGGAACATCTCTGTTTGTTTGTTTTAGTATCCAGAAGCCATGAGTTATTAACCCTTAGGCTCGGTATTATGGATATCGCAACCTTTCGGCTTTGATTCCATTTTAAATACCGTAAATCTGGGAGAAAATGTGGCTGAGTGAGCCCGGACCACAAGGAGTTCGTCACCCGCTCACCGCGCAATCCGGTTTAGCCAATTACGCTAGCGAGACGGGCTAAGGAACATCTCTAATTAGTCGGATTTTACAACATGCTTGTTATCGGTGCAAAGGATCCATTCTTGTGTGTCCCCTACATTAGGGCCACAGCGGAACTGTGTTTATAACATTTGTTTTGCGATTCCAGACATACTGATGCTGTCACCTATTACGTGTTTGTTGGTGATCACACGACACGGCCTCAAGACGCAGCAGAAGGGTTATATGAGATCAGGGGTGTATTCCCTCACAAAAACTACACGAGGGGTAAGTGTTATGGTGTCAACTGTAATTGTCGGTAATTTATGTAGGTCAACACATATCCGTCAAATGGTCAGACTAGAATGTATTAAAGGGAGTCAGAGCCTCTTAATGTTTAGTTGTGCAGGTGGGGGGGGGGGGGGGGGGATTTAAACAGGCTCAGAGACTCATTAATGCTTAGTTGTGGGGAACCGATTCACAGCCTCGTCAATGATTACTTTTATGTGAGAATTAAACTAGTTCCAGTAATTTCAGTTAAAGTTAGAACATCATCCATCACAGTGCATTGCAGACCTAACCGTTTTTCGGTGTGTGTGTGTGTGTGTGTGTGTGTGTGTGTGTGTGTGTGTTTGTGTGTGTTGGTGTGTGTGGGGAGGGGGAATTTAGGCTTCCACTTGAAAACCATTTTGCCATTGCCTGTACACGGTCGGCTCTCGATGACCAGCAGCTTGCATCGAACCGTATATCTCCAAATGACGCTGGGCGTTTCCCACGCCTTAGCTACTAAGCCTTTTTTGTCACTTAGTAAGACATGTGATGGTCGGACATCTAAAACTTCGTTGCTATGCCTTAAGATAGTGTTTACCGAACCTTTCTTGGTCACGGCGACTTAAAAAAAAAAAAAAAAAATTTTCCACGGCGCCCTAACCTAAGTAAAAGTATGGCTATTCGTAACTTGGTTAAACTAATTATGAAGCTTTTACAATAGTTCGCGGCAAAACAGTTTTGGAAACACTGCCTTAGAACATTCACATCGGCGACCGGGTTGCCCATTGGCTCGCCGGTAGGCGACCTCGTCGCCGGTCGGAACAGTATTTGGATCTCTGTCCTTTGTTCTCATCAACACTGCAGAAGTCCTTCTCATGGCGCGCAATTCTGAGCCATTTTATATAGCGCACATAGCCTAGTCACAATTATAACTGAAAGCTCCCCATTCGGGGATGCTGGTTGAATGTTACGATTGTCCCCCCCCCCCACCCTCCCCTCCCCCTCCAAGAAAAGCACCTGCCTACCTTACATTTGACTGACAGACTTTTAAGCCTAATTAGCAACTGAGTAGGACTTTAGGTCGACAGAGGTTTAAATCAAGGTTTGTCGCATAGTAGGATATTCGACCAGCAGTTTTCAGTCATGTTCCAAATGATTCTTCGACGGACGTGGTTACTTATGTACTGGAGTAGGACTGATGAGAGCCAATGAATGTCTGGAAGCTGCACGGATGGGGGTCAATAACTCTGAGATCCCCTGCCAGCTGTTTTAGGCCGATATGAGCCATTATCCCCAGCGCACGACAAGAACGTGTTCCAGGAGTCTTGCATGAGAATCCGTGAAACCTGTACAGAGCATGTTGGCGCCCGAGATGACGTATGGAGTACATGCTGATACACAACCGTCTTACTATAACCTCATGCCTACGGCCGAAATCACGGCTTTGCATTGAGTTATTTTATTTCTGTGCAGTTTGAAAAAGTTGATATCGCGTGTTGTTTATGGTCCCTACTATCGGGTTAGAATAGGGATGTACGTAAGCTGTACACCACCAGGACATCACACAAGGGATAAACACCCGGTGACACAAAGTGCCACCATGCGAATAAGGATCATCCGTGGAGAGGCCCGGAAACCCCGCTTAGCCATATTTCAAGCCCAGCTATATTTAAGGCCCCCGGCAAAAGCCAGTGTTAGGCTTCAAAATAACTTAAAAACTGCATCCTACAAGGGGATGACAAGATTAGATAAGACAGGCACGAATAGACCCCTAGCCCTCTAACATGTGACTCTTACAAAGATTTTGCTAAAATCATATGTGAATATTGAATGTTGAATAAGGAATCGACATCACAACACTCCGACACTCCCTCACTTGCTCAATTTAATTGAGATTTGTCCAGTTTCCTATTGTTAGATGAAATCCTTATTATAGTAATTTTTTTTTTTTTTTTAATTATTATTTAAAAAAAAATAAAACATGCCACAGAAGAGATAAAGTTGCCCTGTGTGTTAACAAGGAGCACTTGCTATTTTGCTGGTACAGTACAGTCTGAGGTAGATGCTGCATACAAAACTTCTGCTGGTACAGTACAGCCTGAGTAGATGCTGCATGCAAAACTTCTGCTGGTACAGTACAGTTTGAGGTAGATTATGTATGTAAAACTTCTGCTGGTACAGTACAGTTTGAGGTAGATGCTGCATGCAAAACTTCTGCTGGTACAGTACAGTTAAAGGTAGATTATGCATGTAAAACTTCTGCTGGTACAGTACAGTTTGAGGTAGATGCTGCATGCAAAACGTATGCTAGTACTGTACATTCTGAGGTATATGCTGCATGCAAAACTTTTGGTACACTACAGTCTGAGGTATATCATGCATGCAAAACTGTTGCTGGTACAGTACAGTTTGAGGTAGATGCTGCATGCGAAACTTCTGGTATATTGCAGTCTGAGGTATATGCTGCATGCGAAACTTCTGGTACATTACAGTCTGAGGTAGATGCTGCATGCAAAACTTCTGCTGGTATGGTGCAGTCTAAGGTATATGCTGCATCTAAAACTTCTGGTACATTACAGTCTGGGGTAGATGCTGCATGCAAAACTTCTGCTAGTACATTACAGTTTAAAGTGGATGGTACATGCAAATCCTGCTGGTACAGTACAGTCTGAGGCATAACTTGGAGTAAATCTTCAATTTCCTAATCTTATCTGCTGTCAAAATTTGTTTCATCGACACAAGATAGTTTGCACCTGACAATTGTCGATATTCTCCAGACCTAGCTTCTAAATTGCCTGTTTGTAGTTTTCCCAAAAGTAAGATTTCAACATTCAAAGAAGAAAAAGAATAGTCAGCCAGTTAAAAAACCCAGACTACTGAATAGACTAGAAACACACATCACGACACGACTGTCTCTCTCGTGAATTAAAATTCAAATTGCTGTAATCTTACACAGCAAAGTTTGAAAGTCTTGTATGTCTACTTTACAAAATCCATTTTTCGATTTGAAGTATGATTACATTCAGAACAGAAATTTGTAGGCACAATAAAATACCATACAACGCAACACATGGCCAGCTCCATGTACACACTAATCGACGGCACCCATGCTGTAATGTCACGAAGTTAGCTGTATGGACTATTAATAGCTCAAGTCGGACGTGATCTATCTAAAGGCGTGGAAGAGTGTCCTTGCACTTTGCATTAAGCAGCCGCCAAAGTTGCCAACACCTATCGACCGCCATTATTGTTCGGGGATTCTACCTGATTTTCACCTTTAGTTGATACCTATAATGGAAATAAATGTGTTGTTTCTTGTATATTCTATATTGGTAGATCGTGGCATAGAAAACGACATTGCCCTGGTATTTATTAGACGCGAGGCTAAGAAATCAGGAATCAAGTTCAACGAATTTGTTCAACCCGTCTGTCTGCCTGCAACAACAGACAATCTGGGTAAAGTAAGGGATCTCATTGCATCTGGAATTGGATACACAGGAGACGACAGTAAGTAATTATAAGATAACTATAGTAAATTACAGCTTATTTATTGAGTTTTTGGGCTTACAAATATTTCTAAAGCTGCGAGTAGCTGATAATACCTTTTTTTTTTTTAAACCGAAAAGTTTGCGTTGTGAAGCATATAGCTCTGTCTATGGATATCACAACCATTCGGCCTTAATTCCATGTTAGTAACCGTAATCTGCGAAATTTGTGGCTTATCTGCCTACCCGCGAGAGTGAATTGTACCGCAAGTATTATGTAATGCGGTCGTTGCACCGCTGGTTTAAGGAACTTAGCTATAGCGCCGGGCATATTTTGGTATTCAGTGTCATAGTAAACACCTGGGAAAACACTGCTAACAGCACACCTCAAGCATTGTCGACAGCAAAACTTGTCTTGCCATCTAGCCTGTGGGATCATGCCGCTTGGACAGGTTTATGACTGTTAAAGGTGCCAAACTGGTCATTAGGGCATACGAAATTTTGGATGTGACAGGTTCGAATCACTGCATGGTAAATATAGATTTAGATTGTTATGTTTAGTGTGTTTTTTCATCTGTCTTCTTCCTCCAATGCGTGACAATTAAAGCATTGTCTGTTTGTTATCTATGTATAACTGTCAGGTGTCTTATATAGCTGATGTTTTAAAAACCCAATAGGAAAAAGCCTCCCACAAAGTAAGAAGCGTCTTTATTCCGGAGACGAACCCAGACTATTTCCAGACCATCTGCAGTTCTTAAGTGAAGATTCCCAGTTGAAAGACGTTCATAGCGCTAATTAAAACCCTTGTTTGTGTGTCTACACTTTCTTTTCTGTCATCTTCATATGACAGATACAGTGTACAACTACATATGGTGTGTATTCTGGAATCCTCTTAGTCTGCGTTAGCTGTTAAAAAGGGAAGTTTTCACGTTGTTAGTTAGTTAGTTAGTTAGTTAGCTAGTTAGTTAGTTAGTAGGTAAGTTAGTTAGTTAGTTAGTTAGCTAGTTAGTTAGTAAGTAAGTAAGTTAGTTAGTTAGCTAGCTAGTTAGCTAGTTAATTAGCTTGTTAGTTGGTTAGTTAGATAATTAGTTAGCTAGTTAGTTAGCAAGTCTATCATGCATTATGTGAAAAGATATGGAAATATGGTATTTGGCCAAAAGACTGGAATGGAACTATCTTTATTCCAATACCAAAAAAGGGTGACCTGAAATTATGTACAAACTATCGAACTATTGCCCTGATCAGTCATTCAAGTAAAATTCTACTAAAAAATATAATGAGAAGACTGCATAAGAAAATGGAAGAAGAGATTAATGTAGCTCAGGCTGGATTTAGACAGGGAAGAGGAACAAGAGATCATATATTCAACATGCGTTTAATAATAGAGAAGTGTAGAGAATTTAGATTTTTAAGAGCATGCATCTTTCCCATTGCAACATACGCCTGTGAGACCTGGACACTTACTAAACAAGCGGGACAGCGCATAAATGCATTTGAATATAAATGTTACAGACAGGTTCTAAGAATATCTTGGGTAAAGAAAAGAACAAATGCATCCCTACTTCAAGAGCTGAATATTGAAGAGGGTTGGCTAGTAAAGACAATAAAACAAAGAAAATTGAAATATTTTGGTCACTTGAAACGTCATGGAAGTCTAGAGAGAACAATAATGGAGGGGTATATGCCTGGGAAGAGAGGAAGAGGAAGGCCAAGGAGAAGATGGGTGCAGGATGTGGCAGGTGATCTCCAGATGGGTGTATCAGACGCAGGACATCTTGCTCAGGATGGGAAGGTTTTCCGGAGGGTTGTTATGGCAGCGAGGTTCCGCGAGGGACATGCTACTGAATGAATAAATGTTAGTTAGCTAGTTAGTTAGTTCGTTAGGTAGCTAGTTAGTTGGGAAATTAGTTAGTTAGTTAGTTAGTTAGTTAGTTAGTTAGTTAGTTAATTAGTTAGTTAGTTAGTTAGTTACTTAGTTAGTTAGTTAGTTAGTTAGTTAGTTAGTTAGTTAGTTAGTTAGTTAGTTAGTTAGTTAGTTAGTTAGTTAGTTAGTTAGCTAGTTAGCTAGTTGGTTAGCCAGCTAGTTAGTTAGTTGGTTAGTTAGTTAGTTAGCTATCTAGCAAGTTAGCTAATTAGTTACTTAGTTAGCTAGTTAGTGAGTAAGTAATTAAGTAAGTAAGTTACTATGTATGTATGTATGTATGTATGTATGTATGTATGTATGTATGTATGTATGTATGTATTTATGTATGTATGTATGTATGTATGTATGTATGTATGTATGTATGTATGTATGTATGTATGTATGTATGTATGTATGTATGTATGTATGTATGTATGTATGTATGTATTTATGTATGTATGGATAGATGTATGTATGTATGTATGTATGTATGTATGTATGTATGTATGTATGTATGTATGTATGTATGTATGTATGTATGTATGTATGTATGTATGTATGTATGTATGTATGTATGTATGTATGTATGTATGTATGTATGTATGTATATGTATGTATGTATGTATGTATGTATGTATGTATGTATGTATGTATGTATGTATGTATGTATGTATGTATGTATGTATGTATGTATGTATGTATGTATGTATGTATGTATGTATGTATGTATGTATGTATGTATGTATGTATGTATGTATGTATGTATGTATGTATGTATGTATGTATGTATGTATGTATGTATGTATGTATGTATGTATGTATGTATGTATGTATGTATGTATGTATGTATGTATGTATGTATGTATGTATGTATGTATGTATGTATGTATGTATGTATGTATGTATGTATGTATGTATGTATGTATGTATGTATGTATGTATGTATGTATGTATGTATGTATGTATGTATGTATGTATGTATGTATGTATGTATGTATGTATGTATGTATGTATGTATGTATGTATGTATGTATGTATGTATGTATGTATGTATGTATGTATGTATGTATGTATGTATGTATGTATGTATGTATGTATGTATGTATGTATGTATGTATGTATGTATGTATGTATGTATGTATGTATGTATGTATGTATGTATGTATGTATGTATGTATGTATGTATGTATGTATGTATGTATGTATGTATGTATGTATGTATGTATGTATGTATGTATGTATGTATGTATGTATGTATGTATGTATGTATGTATGTATGTATGTATGTATGTATGTATGTATGTATGTATGTATGTATGTATGTATGTATGTATGTATGTATGTATATATATATTCATTGTACATACGTATTCAAAAATCCAAAGGGCCCCTTCTTTATGAAAACCAGCAGCATGACGATGGCGGTGATGGCACTGACGTAAGCGTTCGTCTGGCTCGAAACACAACATTACACCCACGTAGGGATTCAATGAGTCTGGTCTAGAGGGTTCGGTTAGATTCAGAGCGAAGGCAGTTGCTAGAGACATTACAAAAGTCAGTTGTGCATGTAGTCACCTGTTATGTTTGTTTGTTTGTTCGGGAACACGCGGGCGTCGATATAAATGTAAGAGTAAAAGGCTAACTGGATCCGCTGTCACTACCGACGGTCAGCTTATGGACCATGCTGATATTAATGCCCTCCGGGAAATCGGAAGTGTTAAGGACTTTGGGGGCAGTGAATACACATCACTTGCCAGAACTATAGACTCGGGACTTGAGATCACACAAGGCACATTAGAGGACTTGACCATCAACATAGAAATAGTGCTATTAGCCACTGGGCACTGGATTTATACTGAGCGAAGGATCTATGTACCTATAGATGTGTCCGCAGTCCAATAATGATAACCAAATTAACTAGCTAATTACCTAACTCAGTAACTAACAGACACGCATATTCACTATGCATTATCTGTACCATTAACAGTGTTTTCTCTTCATAAACGAATACATTGTGTGTATACTATTTGCTTCTAGAGGATGACTCTCAACCACGAACGCTGAAAATAATGAATGGATCACCGATAGACTGTGTGTATCAAAACACTGTATTTAAGAAAAGTGAAGTATTTTGTCTTAACGACACTCAACAGGCATATATTTGCATTGGCGATGCTGGTGGTCCCGTCGTTCACAAAACAGGAGGTAGGAGATTTATTCTCTGCCCAAACTCATTTTAGCCTGTATATCTGTAGGTTTGTTGATTCAGTCACATTTAGCTACACACTTTATAAGTTATTTAATTTGTTAGTAAGTCAATTGACCCTTATTTGACCCTGCCCATTTTTAAGTTAGTAAATGGCATGTTTATGCACTGAGGCATACATGCCTTTCGACGCCGCTAGGCGAATATTTACCAAATATGTACCTCATGGGGTGAGAGGGGAGCTGGATGGGGGGTAAATATTCAAAAAGCTGCGCATAGAAGACAACGAGATCGATAGATTGATTGATCTAACTTTGACTCCCAGTCGATCTTGTCTAAATGGGTTCCGGTAAAACTCTTTGAAAGTAAGTGAGGTGAATGTGATGTTGACTATATCCCACTTCACTGTATCTGTAAATACATGTGTCTTTGCAAAACAGGCGGTGCATTACAGGCACGAATATGGTCCCTTACTTCTTCCTGACTTTACCTTTTAAGACATTTCCTTGTGTTCGGTTACAAGGCTTGTTTGACAGGAAAATAGACGAAGGCTCAATTTCATTATGTCATGTTCACTAGAAGCGGCGTTCGTTGCTTAGGCGTTGCGAGTCCGACTTGTAATTCCAGCGTACCGAGATCAAAACCCACTGCTAGCTGCGTGGATTATTATCATGGTATGGGGCGTCCTGGGGAAGTAAAGAGAGCCGGCGTAATGCTGACCACATTACCCCCTAGTGCCTATGGTCTGTACAAATATGGGCGCTCTTCCATTATACCCGATACGCCTAAAAGCGTGATAAGGGAACTTTACTATGTTCACTAGAAGGCTGAAGGTTTTTTTTTGTTTTTGGGCAAGACATTGTCCTCTACCTGTAGCACATCAAACTCAAGGCAGTCGGTCTTGTAGATGAGTGCTGCTGCTTTAGTCTAGGGTCGTTGGGTCCAAGTTGAGAACAGATCTTTTAGCTGTAACACGGCCATAGGTTTAATGAAGTAGCTACCAAATGGCCTAACTCAATGATGTGCTTGAATCACCAGTGTTGGTTCCAGGACGCAGTTGGTCATGGAGGAGTGGTGGGGTTGGGATGTGGGGGGGGGGGAGGGGTGTTGGGTGTGGGTATAATCACTGCCTTTAGCAGGCATGTGGTACAGGGCAACTGGTTAGGGACGTTTTCTTCCAAGTAGAAGTGTTTCAGTCTAAGAGGTGAGCAACCAACAGTCTTGTACATGTAAGCTTTATATTTGAAACTGATACGCATGCAAAACTCAAATACTGGACCAAGAAACAAAAAACGTTCAATTTCCAAGTTCTAAGGGTTTAAAAATTGCTGTTAGTATCTTTCATATGCTAGGTCGAATTCGCAGTCCACCTTCTAGTACAATGCCAAAAGAACTTCTTTTTCTTCGCCATTATAAAACTATCAGAACGTCATATTGTGGTTTATAACAAACTATGAGTCGTGAAGCTGACGAACAGCCTATCCTTTTTGCTGGAGTTTAAAGCTGGTAAACGCCTAAAAGAAGATGAATTGCCATTAAAGGAACGATCGTGAGAAATGGAACTGATTAACGGCTACTTATTATTGAGATGACACGTATTGTTTGTAACTGATCTTTCTCTTTAGAAATATAAAGAGAAAAAACAAAAAAGAGTGCTGGAATGCTGTGGTGAGCTATGGCTGTGAATCATTGAATGTGATTGAACAAATTAGAAAGACCTTGAAGGCTGTGGATGTGTGGTTTGTGAGACGTTTCCTACGGAAACCGTGGTCAGTCAGAGTGACTTACACATCCACCGCCTGGCAATGGCTTATAAAATTAAAAACATCATCATCATCATCATGAAGCGGGTTCTTAGCAGAACGTCGCTGTCATCAGAGAAACAAACTCGGACTCTCGCCAGCTCTCTCGCCTCATGTACTTTCATACTCAAGGAGTCTTTTATATGCTGTGCCCATCTTCGGGTTGGTCGGCCCCTGTCCCTTCCGAGCACTTAGAAGAATGTTGTGAAACTTGCTCTTTCCAATACCTTAGTTTTTCAGTGTTTGTGATCCTGTCCTGCCACTTGCGAAGTATTCTTTTCAGGCATCGCATGCGAAAGCTATTACAACAATGCGCGTTCAAATAGTGCGTAAACAAAGCTACGGGCACCGCAAACCGCTGAGTAACGCAAATAAATGCTAGGTCGAAATTGCAGTCCACCTTCTGGTATAACACGAAAAAGACATCTTTTTCTTCGTTCGCTATTAAAGAGCTATCGGCACTCTGTATTGCCAATTCAAGTAAATCCGTATCTACTGGACTTAAACGACATGTATGGACAGGGAACACAGGGCCTATTCTTTCTTTCACCTCGAAATAGGCACCGCAGAGGGAACTGACTTTCTTGTGTTTTGTTTTTCAGCATTGTTTGTCTTGTACGGTATTGTAGCCTACGAAGGGGATGTGGGTTGCCACAGAAACAGGCCTACATTTGTAGTGAACATCTACGGATACCGACATTGGATTGAGCAAACTATCAGTCGAATCAGTCATGGCAAAGAGGCACTCATTCCTGACAGAACATAATAGGACACTTAAGCTTGTGTATGTCTTTGGGTCCTGTGTTTTCTTAACGTTGTAGGCAGTCTTAGTGAACATTGACTGCTAAAAGCAAACAGATACTGAAACCATACGAAAATACAGTAATAGTAAATGAAATACGCAAATGTGTTTATTTTTATTTACTTGTGTGTCTTATTATCATCACAATGTTATTAACTGCATATATTTTCTTTGTTCTTTTTTTTTCTTTCATTCGTATCATAGTTGTCCGCCTCAGTTTTCTTCTTCGTCTCCCATCCTTATCCTCTTTATTGTCCTCATCGTCATAATCATCAATTTCGTCGTCTTTTTACTTTGACCAGATCTATTTAAAGGCTTTTTAAATGTTATCCCACATGTTCTTTGTTTTAACATCATGCGTACAAACTGTCATTATAATCTTTATCCTAATCGTCATCCTTATCATCATCTTCATCTTCTTTAACTGCTTCGTCTTTTCACTTGGACCAGGTCTATTTAAAAGCTTTTTTTTTGAATGTTTTCCAATATGTTCTTTGTTTCATCATCATCCGAACACACTGTCATCATCATCATCTTTATCCTTATCGTAATCATCATCAACTTGATCTTCTACAACTGCTTCGTCTTTTCACTTGGACCAGAACTATATAAAGACTCTTTTGAATTTTTCCCCACATGTTCTTTGTTTAAACATCATGTATACACATTGTAACATTCTACAGAGCTGGACAATCCCCGTAGTCTGAAGATACGCATCGTCATGTAGCAGGTCCTTTACAGACCCTCGCTTACATCACAACCTGCCTGAAGACACTTAATCGCTGGTCAGCTCGCCTCTTCATTCACACTCCTGCCCTGTGTATCTCCTAAGCCCTGTGCCCCTCTTCTAGCAAATCCACCCAGCACCACTTCTGTGGAACCAATCCATTTGCTTCTACTCTATTTCAGTGTGGCGAACTATATTGCCACAGTATTTCGGCTTCCGATTCAAGATTCTAGTTATGAGCCATATTACCTTGACATTCAGAGCACTTAGGATGACAGAATTTTTTTTTTTTTTTAAATTATGGTCTTTTGTATTCAGATAATAATTCAATAGCCTATAGGCTCAAACCCCCAAATTTTCTTCCTAAACAGAATGAGAGATTAGTACACGACTCACAGAGAAGTTGCATGCTCTCAAAAGTGTTCGTTTCATTCTGAATATACACGTTCGTTGTTTGATGGTTTTGCCTGCTATTTTGCTACTTACATTTGCATGTGACTGTTCTTCTTCTCTAATCAGGACATCAACATATGGTTTCTATTTTTACCTTGGATTACCTTAGTATCTAAAACATGCGACTGTCTGAAACATACTATAATCTAAAAATACATAACGTAACAATATTGCTCATTGTTCTCTTCCAAAAAGATAATTTTTGAATCAGAAGACATATCTGACGAAATTAAAGCACTAGTTATCAGCAAAAACCGCTTTTGTAGATAGTGATATATATCAAGTTAAATGAACACACTAGCTCAACGTATTGACGCATTCGTCTTCTTCGCTTCCACTATTAACCCCAGAGAGGTGTTGGGGTGGAGATGTAAAGATCGTTTGTGAGCTCTTTCCAATGCATTGTGCAACTGAGTTTTAATTTATGTTAAGTTGCCCCTGATAATGTCGCCCCATGTCTTGCGTGTTCTTCCCTTGCTCTGTGTTTATTATATTTCTTCAGCGTGGCTCTCCGTGGCAGTTGGTACCAGGGCATTCTGGTCAGGTGGCCAAATCATCTCATTTGTTGTTCCCTAAAGATTGTTTGATTGATTTTAGTCCTAGTCTTCTTCTCATTTCTTTTTTTTTTCTGATTGTATCTCTTCTTTTCACACATACAGCTCTCCTAAGATATCTTATTGCTGTTGTTACCACCTTCCGCTTATTAGTTGTAATAAGGGTCCATGTTTGGCACTGGTAGCACAATGTCGCTCCCCCTCCACACACACACACACACACACACACACACACACAAACACACAAACTTCTTATGAGATTTGCCTCGTTGTCACACATTGCTCGTGTCACGTGCCTGATTAAGGATTTCTCCTAATGAACCAACAGCACTCTGAAATAGTATTGATGTTTAAATGTCTGTAATGGTCTAGGCGGAATCCCGCGGCTGCTTTACACATCTAACCTATTTCAGGGGTGGGGCTACACAAGTTATGGCACTACAGAATATACACTCATAGGCGCAACTTGGCCGGACATCACCACTACTACAAGAAAATAGCCCCTAGACTAGATAGTCTACTATAGTAGTCATGTTAACACAGAATAAGATTCAATATATTAATATGGCGCGGTGATTTCGGTCACAGGCATGAGGGGAAGTTAAGTCTGATGTGATGTGTATAAGGAGATATTCCGTACCCCACTCGGGCGCCAGTACTT